TGAATGGGTCTCACCAACTATCATGCTTCAGATATATATCATACTGCATATTTACTACCTGTATATTTACTGGTGCATGTATCAAATGCCTGCATACAAATTGGTATCAAATGCCTGCATATTGACTGGTATCAAGTGCCTGCATATTTACTTGTGTCAAATGCCTGTATATTTACTGGTATGAAATCCCTGCATATTTACTGGTGTTAAATGCCTGCACGTTCAATGGCATCAAATACCTGCTTACGCGCTTTCTATTGAGGGAAAATTGGAAAGTGTATACATTACATTGTATGTGTGAATTCCTATGAAATGTACTTTTACACTGAGCGATAATAGTTTAGTTGTTTGTCAATATATCTTTAATATTAATGATTGATTTTTCACTTCATTTACGACAGAATGTTTGTACTCTAAAATGTCCAAATATATTCCTTAAACCTATGCCCTTAGATTCATTTTCTCATTACGCACATAAAATTGATCATTAATTATTGTATCAAATTTTTGTGACCTTTTGCTTTTATTTAAGAGTACGACCTGTTACGTTGAATAAACAGTTCATTCAAAGATATAAAACAATCAAGACCCTTTCCAGTTCTACTTTCATAAATAAAGCATTCAAAATACCGGACGACCGGTCAATAAAAGCATCAATTTTCAAAGGTATAAAAGCTATCTTGTCCAAGAAAGTTGATCAACATTTTAACTTCTTTAATAGATCATAGTATGTTTCTTTTGAGTGAATTTTAAGCGAATAAATGTACGAGCACAGGACTTTTACGAGAATCGTTGACTTTTACAGTTGACGAATTACTCCTACATTAGGACAGTGTACGGAAGCTCTTTTATACGAAAGTCCAGAAGGCTCATTCGAGATTTGAGTTTCTAAATACGAGATTCGAAATTCGAGTTTCGAGATTCAACATTCAGACTAACCAATCAAAAGCGGGTTCAACAATTTGATTACTCCCCTTTATTATGTTTTTACTATCAAGAAATCGTTAAATATAATTATAATAAATGGGTCATTTGATTAAATTACAATGCAAGAAAGAGTGTTATGTATATTAGAAGGAAATTTAAATAAGTCGTGGATTTTTTATCAGCAAGGTATACTTTAATTTATATTATACTTCTTAAGTATTAAATAGATTACATATATCAGGAGTATATATATTTTTGTATTGTTGACTATACTTAATTTTATGTATTTCATCCATTACGGAAACCACAGGTATTGTGGACAGGAAACCCCCACCCCACCTCGATATTCAACCCCAGGGCTTATTGGACATTTTTTTCCACAAATTATATTTATTACACTTATTCATCATGTGTATAATACCAAAAAATCGCGGGCGTAAAACACCCAGAATAATCGCTCAAAAAAAAAAAAAAAAAAAAAAAAACTATACATTACCCCACTATACAAGAGAGAATGCTGTTTAAGGAGATGGATTATTACGAGTTGTAGAGTCAGTTCGATAGCATGGACTAGGACATAAATATATGTAGAGACAGTGTGAATCGACATTTAAAGTTAAAATTTTATTGGTTTATTGGTTTTGATTGGTTAGTCTGGATCTTGAATCTCGAAACTCGAATTTCGAATCTCGAATTTTGTATTTGAAAACTCGAATTTTAAATGAGCCTTCTGGGCTTTCGTACTTTTACGATATACAGTGGAGCCTCATTTATCCGGATTTGGTTCCCAGTTAATTTGTCCAGATATGTGAAGCGTCCGGATATCTGAATTACCAGTTAAACAAGATAAATAAGATTTTAAAAATTCTGTTCCGATGAAAAGTCAATACTAAGCATCCGGATATCTATATCTGAAGGTTCACTGTAATAGTTATATATTTTCTTCAGCGCCATTTTATTATCGTCATATTCTTAGTCTGCTTTATATAGAATACGCTATTTAATATTCGCTCTATATCTTTAAACATAGATTTTTTAACAGATTGATTTTTCTCCTCTTTTTGCTTTGATGTCTTTATAATTGAATTTGAATAGTTGGATTTCTTTTTTCGATCAATGTATAATATAAATAATAACAACAAAAATTTGATTTTAAAGCAAAACTTTAATTCGATTTCTTAAACTTTGAAACATTTTTAAAACAAATTACACAGTTAAGATTGGTCATCAGATTATAGTTCTGAAACTATGAGGGGTGATCAAAAAGTTCGCGAATTATCTCTATATTAACAAAAATACGAATTAGATCAGAATGAAATTTGGCACACTTATAGTTTGGAACATGTTCTATAAATAGCATATGAAAAGTAATGATTTTTTCCATCATTGTGACGTCACAATGTAAAAATGACGTCAATATGTAGGTGACTCGTGACGTAAAATGTTTGTCACAGTTTTACTCGATCAACGAACGGCTGTAACATTTAACATATAATTTGGGAATTCCTTTGAAGTATCTTATAATAATTTGTACAAGGTTTATGTAGACAATGGACTTTCCAGATGTTCAATCATAAATTAAATTGACTGTGAAAGTGAAGGGAGGGAGATGTTCTGTACCCCAGCAAAGACAAGCTGGGGGAAGAGATGTGTCCTTTGTTGGGCAATTTGTTGTGAAAGATCGCGAAGTTGCAGCTAGAAGAATAGCTGAATATCTTAACAATGATATTATTATTAAATCCCTAAAATACTTTTTTACTTGAGACTTTAAACATATTAAATATGGTAAAAAGAAGGCTCATTTACTATATATTCATATTGGATAAACGACGTTCCAAAGACAAAGGATTGGGGTTGTAATGGTAACCATGCTCTATCTGGGAAATTATATTCATATCTAACCATCCGGGTTCCGAGATGTGGTCATTTCTGACAAATGGGCTGTTCTTGTTATAAAAAAATTACTTGCATTGTAAGAAATATAAGACTTGGGAAAATATTTAATATATGAACAGAATGCTACAGAGCATGTCACGTGACCGCCGGAATCACGTGATTCGCGCATGAGCAGAACGGTGGCAGATATGCATTCAAGTCAGAAAGGGCTATTTTTTTAAAAAATATATAAACACTGAAACCTAGTTTTTTTGTTTTATGGAAGTTATTCAATTTGTTCGCGAACTTTTTGATCACACCTCGTATAAATATGTAATAAAAGCAACTTAAATATGATTTGAACATTCATATTTTAAATATTAAAAAAAATAAATATAACAAAACATTTACAAGTTAAACGAATGCTGTATATTAAAGGCCATTACAAGTTAAAGGAACACTAAATATAACAAGCCCATTACAAGTTAAACGAACGCTGTATATTATGAGCCCAGTAAAATATATCCAAAGCTATGTTTCCTGCTAATTAAAGATGTTTTTATATCTTCGTTATGTATAAACTTTCAGTAAGGATTACTATCTGTTTACATTTTTGACTGACTATGGAAAGAAGAGCTCGGTAGATGCAACTGGTCAACAGGGGATGCTCACGCTTCCACGGCTATTGATCTCGGCTCAGATGTCATAGAAGTCTCTGATTGCTCTGCTCCAAATCTGTGTTGTTCTAAAGGACTTTTGTCCTTGATAACTGTTCGTTATCTTTAAATTTCATTGTATAACCTTCAGAACACGAATATTAAAACTACATTTTATATATAAATGTGATAATTATTTAATAAATATTAAAGTAAATTGAAAGGGGGAGAGGGTCCAATTTTTTCAAAAATTTTATTTATCGTAGCATCAATTATCTGAAATTATCAATGAGCAGAAAATTCAAAAATTAGTTTAAAAGTAAAGATTGAACGATAAAAAGGAGACCAGTTTGCTTTAAACCGAATTGATAATCTGAAAAAGATATTTTAATGTTACTTCTTGTTATTGAGCATTTACACAATGTAGTTTTTTGACTGGCTATATGTTCAAAGTGCTTTTTAATGTTGACGAGAATCATTTTGATTTTGACAATAAAGAAGGAAATAAAAGGAGCAAGATGTTTCTCCATTAATATTAACCTCTTTTTATGCCCCCGTTATTGGGGACAATTAGTTTTTGGTATGTCCTTCTGTCTGTCTGTCTGTCTTTCAAACCATCAGGAAAAACTTTAACCTTGTCCATAACTTTTTAATACCAAGGTTTTTTTTTATTTTACATGTGCATTCTTTGTAACATTACTCTTCTTTGGGAAGCACACAATTAACTTGACAATTTTGCCAAACTTTATCATTGGCATTAGACTTTTAGCAGTCGGTGCAAGGGTTCTTATATTTCGCCAGTACTTGTATAATATATCATGTGACAAACCTTTTTTTTTTACTTTTTGACTTTGGCTTTGTGATTTGTTCTTTATCTTGAAAAATAAGTAAACATTTGCCATATTTTTACACATATTGAATATCTATATGTCAAGCAAATAGACATTTCTTAAGGCCATATTGTTCCACTTTTTGACCATTGAGTTTTACCTATATTTATGAAAACTCATCTTGCCTAAACTTTTTAAACGGTTGTTGCTATGACATTTATATTTCAAATAAGTATTCAATGTCAAGATTATAAGACGTATTCTTTGATACCATTTTTTACCCATGAATTTAAACCTTCGACAATGTCCTACTTTTGAAATAAAAACTTTTGATCCTAGAGTTTAACCTACATTTAAAAAAAAAATTAACCTTCGCTTTGAGCTGCCTTACGGGGGCATAAAATTTCACAAGCAAATATAATTATTATAATTTATAAAATTTAGACTTGTTAAAAAATTGAATGTAAATGAGGAATATTCAAATAGAGCTTGACTACAATGGAAAATAAATAAATAGAAGTTATAGAGACGGTGGCTTCTTACAACAGATATGTCTTCAATCACAAGTATGCTTTGATGATAAGCAGCACAAAATCGGAGAAGCTTTGTTTTACTAAAGTGTAAGCCTCAGGGGGTAGACCCTCAGTTACTTCAGTTAATAAATGTTGGACATAAATTACAATTCTGTTATGTCCAGTTGCAGCTTTCCTCCACTGAAAAATTCTCATTACTTTTGTTACTTCCCTCTACTTCTCCTCATCAAAGCTGAGAAAATTTGGCTGTATGGAAAAGTATCTAAAATTAAAAAAATATGAAATCTAAATGTAGTAAATAAAACTCAAGGTTTTAAAATAGCTGCATATATTGCAAAACAAAATTTTTAGACTTATTTTGACGTTTAGGCATTGAATCGTCAAAATCTGTAAAAAATGAGTGGTCATTTGATCATTTAATAATTTCTTTTTATAAGAAAAGATTTACAGTGAGAGAGGGGGGGGGGTATCTGAAAGAGAGCATTTCTAATTAATTTCGATGTATATTATTTAATGCTAAGTGTTATGTCAAAGTTATCGAAATTTGAAAGCGAATATATTTTTTTTGGTTTGTCTGTCTGCCTATTTGTTAAAATACACAGATCTTGCGATATATACGTATCTCGATATATTGGCACGATACGATACGTATCTCGATATTTTGATATATTATAAAACTATTTTTAAAAATAAGTATTTTTTTCATTTTTTGTCTTGTCATTAAATCAACATGATAAATTATAAAACTATTCAAAAGAATTAGTACTTTATTTCATTTTTTGCCTTGACATTAAATCTATTATTCTATATCAAATGATGTGTGCTTTGAAATTAATACTTGAAGTTCATCAATACGTATCATTCACTAAAATTTTACAAAAACAAAAATACTACATATTATTACCAAATTACTTTTAAGAAGTTGTTTACAAAGAGAGAGAGAACACTGAGAGAGAGAGAGAGAGAGAGAAAGCTGAGATTACAAAAAAAAAATACGAGATGGACTAACAATTAATAATGTCAAATGCTCTGGAAACGATGCTTTCTGTGTAAAGCACGCATTACATACTGAACTTTTCTTGTCCAAATTCTTCCGAGGCTGTTTAAAAGTGAAAACATTTTACCCCTAAACAACGACTTATTAGTTCTAAAGTGTGTTTTCAATAATCAACATCATCTCTTCGTTACACGCCGCCATTTTCCAAGGACATGTACTTTCATTTTCAATTTTTGGATAGGTCGTTCGTGTATCATTTCGTATATTTGAATGCTTGTATCGTAAACCGTATCTTAGAGAAAAATATCGATATGTATCGGTGTATCGGTATATCGCCTACTATTTGTCTGTCTGTTTTATTACAAAACTTAAACACATTAACTTTAAATGTTTGAAGAACGGGCTTTCATAGTATCCTTGTCCGCTTTCATAGTATCCTCAGGACAAGACCTTTTTGTACCATCATTATTTGACTTCTTGACCTTGGATTTTTTTTTCAAAAACTTACCAACATCTACCCTTAGCCCTAACTTTTGAATAGTTGGAGCTAGCCCTTTTTATATCTCGAATAAATTTTATGTGTCCAGATCATTATTGAAGAACCAACATTTTTATCTTTATTTTGACTTTGAGTTTGACTTACTTATATGCAGAACTTTAATCTTGCCAATAACTATTGAAAGGTGAGTTTTAAGACTTCCGTCACATTTTTTTGTGATAAGATCTTTTTTTCGTAACTTTCATTTTCCCTCAAAACCTTGACATTGGAGTTTGCCATACTTCAGAAAGAATTTAACCTTGCCAATACGTTTTGACAGGTTGCTGCTACTGCTAGGGAATTCATATTTCACTTATTCTTTTCTTGCGACAAGACATTTTCTTTAGTACCCTTTTCTACTCATGATATTGAACATGAGGTATGGCCTACTTTTTGAAAAAAATCTAACCTTGGCCATATTTATTGAATAGTTGTTGCGGAGCTCATATTTGTATTTCTTTTGACAAGACCTTTTGTGTATCAGCATTTTTTGATTCTTAACCATGGAAAGTTTCTTACATTTGGGACATGATAACTTTGGCTTTGAGTTGCCATAATAGGTAGTAAATCATTGTTTCACAAAAAATCTTTTTTAGATGAAAAGGAACCAGTATACAGAGCTAGTAGGATGTGTAATTTTTTTTAAAAACCTTCACGTATTTCAGAAATGAAGTTGACCACCTTAATTAAGCGAAAATGATTTCATTAGCTGTTTGTCCTTAGAATCTAATTAGAGAAACTGCAAGTGTAAGTATATAGAAATCAATATTCATGAACTTTAACTTTTGCGTAGCTGAGTTTTTTTTAAATAATTACTTCAATTTTAGCTGAATGAAAAGGTGTACAATGAATATGGTAAGTAACATAAATTTAATCTAAAGGTTTGCTTATTTACGTTTTCTTATTAGTAGATTGCAAAATTGTAATATATCCTATGGGATCAAACTAGGCTAGCAAAGAATTATCATTGTACCAGCTACTATTTTCAAATACGGGTTTGGGATTTTGAAATATAAAAAGCTTTACATTTATTTTGTTTCTTATTCCGAATTTTGGCAAATAAACATAACAACAACAGACAAAATTAAATATTGAACAGATTGTTTATAGAAAGTTGTTGATATTCTATAAGATCTGTAGATTTTAGTAATTGTTAAGCAGTTTTTACTTTTTCTAATATCAAATTAATTTTTCTAAAAAAAAAAATCATTATTCAGATTATATTGACTATATATACTTACTACATGCCCCACATTTCAGGGGACAGAACTCTTCGAACATTTCTCTTTCCTCTGGATATGGCGAATTACACTCGGCCTCAGTCACTTCCTCGCAGATGTCCCAATTTTCATACATGTTTTGATTCTTACATTCCTCTGTCAAAAATTATACATACATGCCTATTATCTAAATCTATCAAGATATTACATGTACAACGATTATAAAACTAAAACTATTCATTAATTCAATGACTGAATTTCTTACCGTCACAATTCGGACCCATTCCAGAACTACAGGTACAAGTACATGTACTGTTGTCTAGAGTTCCTTGGCCTATCAAGGGTTTATTACAAGTCTTTCTGCAGTCTAAAACATTAAATTTTAAGATGTTTTAGCGAAATACATCATAATATATGCCTGATTTATCTATTTAAAAGGCAAACTAAATTTTAAAAGTACTTCGATTAATAGAAGTTTTTTGTAAAAGAATAACTTACCGCAACTCTCTGTAGTTGGGTTACACGCAACTGTTAAATAACAAAAAAATGTTATATCAGGTATCTTAAATATATCGAAATCAATTACTATATTACGCAAAAAAATTTAAATAGTTAAAAACATTAAGAAAAAATATGGTACCACAAAGCCCGTTCTCACAAAAGGCAGCCTCGTCGGAACACTTTGTACAGGGGGCGCCTGGTTTGTACACCGGGGGATACTCAGCGCTGTCAAATATAAGATCCCTCAATAATTTCCTTAATCAATTTCAGAATCATTTAATAAATTAACCAAAGAATATATTTTATTTTTAAGTTTCATTTTTCCATTTCGGTATTAGAAGAAAAATTAACCCCGAGTTAAAGATCCGAAATAAGATACAAATGTACTTAGAATTACTTAGGTCATAATTTTAAGTAAGTCTAAAGATTTTTAAAAATTAAAAGAAATCGTGAACAAAATATAACCGATGTATAGATTAGCTTGTCCTGGGCGTATTGACTTACCCTCCCTCGTACATGCAAAGCAGTTTAATTTTACCACTGCATCTTTTAATTGAACACCCTATGGAGTGGTGGCCTGCATTTATCATCTGTGAGATATGATTAATAAAAATGTAAATAGTATAAATAACTTGAAATGTTAATGAACCATGATAATTTCTTTTACTTTTACTACAAAACATTCGTTTTTACCTGTATACTCAAAATCAAATTCCGTGGTGAATGTCTTTTAATGATTATTTTTATGATTACTGTAGAAACTGTATTTAAGTAAATCATTTTCAGAGAAAGTGAATAGACTTTAACTGACCGTTAATATATTGCTACATGGAGAAGAATCCAAACAAGATGCCTCGTAAGGAAACAAATGTTGAATTTCCCGAAACCACTCGTGAATAATGTCACTTAATGACGCACCTTGTCCTATATTCACAGTTAAACTATTTTGAAACAAGTCTGAATTTTCTGAACTACACTGTAAAATTTCAGAGGTATGCCTTTGTAAAGATCTACTCCATGTCTGAAATTAGAAAATAAAACTTAAAGACAGTCAAAGTGCGGAATACAGGAAGCTCTATAGATATTATTCATTCTTATTACTTGTTAAAATAAATGCATTTTTTTTTTCCAGAAGATAATAATTATTTTGATTATATGGCTTTCTATGTCGAGCGTAAAATCACGAAAGATGTGTAAGAAAATGCATGTAATTGACATGGGTAATTTTCAGAAACATATTTCCTTATCCCCAAATAATAAAATAAGAAAAAGCTTTGAAATTTAAAGAAAATAAAGAAAAACCTTAATGCATGAATAATTTCACTTGATGTAAGTCATGATGTGACATATTTCTGAAGAAAACAATTATCGAATTTTAAAAATGTTTTCGTTCTTTGTGTAGCGAAGAAACAGGAGGCCAAATGGCATAAACAGTCACATGAATATTGCACAACACTAAAGATTCCCTAAAAGAATAAACTGAAACGAAATAGATTGTCAGATGAAGCTATGTTACTCAAAAACTAAAATAAGTGGATGATATGGGACATGATAATTAGTTTAGTACTCAGTAACAAAAATGTGTTATTGTCATTGGTCATTTGCAAAATCATTTTCTAAAAATACATTCTGAATGTTCACACAAGTACTCTGAAGTTGATATTGAAAGGATGAATGACTTTCTTATTGACAAAATTTTTGTGGTTTTTGGAGGCCAGGTCTTCCAAAAATCTATTGGAATTCTCCTATTGCGCCCAGTTATTAGTAAATTTTTGTATTCATGTTCAAAATCTTATACGTGGGAAAAACAAAACACTTGCCGTGGCCTTCAACTTGACATTTAAATGTATCGACGACGTATATTGTCACTTAACAATGGTTATTTCCATTCTTACGTCGATACGATATATTCCGGTGAGCTTGAAACAAATGACACTACAGAGTCTGACAACTCCGTCTCATATTTAGATATTTACTTGAAAAAGACGTTAATGGTTATCTAACAACCATACTTTATCATTAACGTGATGAATTTAACTTTTCAATCTTCAATAATTTCCCTTACTTATGCAGCAATATACCTTCATCACCTGCATACAGAGTTTATATCTCTCAGTTGGCTCGATACTTGAGAGCATGCTCCATGTGCCAACATTTTCTAAAACGAGGTAAATTATTGACAAACCAGTTGCTGAAACAAAAATATCAGCAGTCTCGTTTAAAGTCATCATTTCGTAATTTAAGTTCTATAGCCGATGCAATGACCTCGTCAGCAAATATAATTTATTATAAAGTCAAATGCTGACTGACGTTTTTCATACTGTTATGCCATTACATACGCAATAAATTGTCAATGGATTTTCACCATCATGACAGGGAGCACAAGGCAGGTGTTACCAGTGGCAGGGGATGCTCACTCCTTTTATTATTATGTTCCCCAAACGAAGTTGGGGAACATATTGTTTTTACTCTGTTTCTTATTATTATTATTCTTATTATTTTTCTTCTTCCTGGGAAAATTTTGTCCACGAGTGATCTTGTAAACTACACATCCGACTTAGGTGAAACCTTTTTAGGGTTAGTAGGCATGTTATGTAGAGTTGCCAAACAAAGGTCATTTTGCGCGCACATGCTTGCAAGAGCGCGCACGTGCAATAGGTGAAATTACCAATAGAATGGATATTGCCGTAACTTTTCTATTTTTTGATGAAATTTTTTGAAACTCATAATGTAAGGATACATTAGTAGTATAGACAAGATAGCATGGTCAAAATAGCAAGATCTCACGCGCATGCACGTGCGCTTTGCTCTGATTGGCTGAAACTAAAGTCTCAATAACTTTCTTGTTTCTTGTCATAATCCTTTGAAATTTTGAACATAGTCCTACATTATGAAGATCTACCGCACGATATATAAGAATTTTCATGAAAGCATGCGCATGTGCGCGTGCTGCAATCTGATTGGCTGAAATTTTAAATGGCTATTTCTCCTTTGTTTTTTGACGAAATTCTTTGAAATTTAAAATATAGTCATGCATTAGGATATCCTACGAAATGATATAGAAAAAAATCATGAAATCACGCGCATGCACGTGTGCTGCAATCTGATTGGCTGAAACTTTAAATTGCTATTTCTCCTTTGTTTTTTGACGAAATTCTTTGAAATTTAAAATATAGTCATGCATTAGGATATCCTACAAAAAATAATGAAATTACGCGCATGCATGTGTGCTGCAATCTGATTGGCTGAAACTTTAAATGGCTATAACTCCCTTGTTTTTCAACCAAACAGGATGGGATTTAGAACATAGATAGATGTAAGGGACTCCTACAAGAAGGTATGATCATCATGCACGTGCACGCACGTGCGTGCATTTGAAACGAGTATACTTAAAAATACTCTTGAATGAGTGATTTTTATTAATTTTGGACTGAATGCTTTAATATATAGTATATTAAAATATATAAAAAGTGTAGACAAGATGATTTGGTCATAACGCACATGCATTCACATGCACTTGGGTGCAATGCTAAAAATTGAATATAGTTGGTATCCTTCTAAAACGTTGTTAAAGTCAAAAATGCACAGAGTTTGTCTTATTTAATGAAGCTTACAGGGAATATGGCACCGAAAGGGAGTTGGGGAGCGTTTGGGGAACATCTGTAACGGTTCCCGTTACAATTAGCACTAGTTGCATATGGAATAAACATTCTAGCATTTCATGCAATGGTGTCAGACACATCTTTTTGTATCTCAATGAGACTAGCTTGTGCCTCTGTGATTTTCATATTGTAAACAGTTTCATAAGATGAGATCGATAACTGTTCGTTATTCCTACCCTTTCTCATTTGACGAATTTCAGCAGAATTAAGAAAGCTTTCATTTGAAATGTTGGTTAACTTATCACCCTCTTATGACCTTCAAACATACACATACTTTGAATGAATTTCAAAGCTTAACTCAGACAGAGCATTATTTTCCTCAATTATAGCTGTTTTGATGTTTAATGTCAAATAAGTGGCCGAATTTTGACCCGTACCTTGCCCTTCATTGACACGAGAGAAAGGCTTGGGTTCGATTTCTTTGAATTGAAATTAAATCCTATCAAATACCCTGAAATTTTGTCCTTTACTTGCAATTAAAATTACATTGACTTTTAATTACTTTCAATTTCTCTGAAGAATGTTATAAAATACATAACAACAAAATATGTTAATGTTTGAAAGGGTTTATCTAACATAAATAACGTAACTAACATAAATAACGCTTGTGAGGCTAATGTATGTTGCCCGTATGAAACCTTTTTATCGGCAAGTTTCCAATATTTTGAATTGAATGTGAAATACTCTCATTTTCTTATTTGTAAGTAAGTGCTGACAAAAAAAATCATGCAATAAAAAAAATTATGTTGAATAATACAACAACTTCAGGTACTGAATTATAACATTTATCAGGATCTGTTGGGATATACAAAAAATTATTTAATAAAGATTTCTTTTCAAATTATATGTATATATAATCTTGAGCATTCTTAATTTTATTTTTAAAAATCCGAATAGAATGTAAAAAAAAATCTAACATTTTGAATAAAAGAAGGGCTGGTGATATTTTGAATGAATGCTATATGGATAAATACGAACAGTATTCAAGCTCAAAAGTCCATTCAAACAATTATACAGATCGTAAAGAGAGCATATACGGACCTCTAAAACATCAGAGGTGGGATCGGGTGCCATAGAGAAGTAAGCATACTCTGTCGAATCGGTCACACCCGCCATGTGATTCTTGTCATAATTTAGAAAATGGGAAAAATTTTTGACTATTCGGTAGTTTTCTAATAAATACGTATATTATATACATTTATTATGTAAAGTCACTGACACCATGTAATTTCAAACAATTGAATTCTAATTGCTATAAATAGATTTATAATTCAAGTACTAGTAATTGAAAAATTGACAAATTACTTTCAATAATATTGAAAAATGTAATTGATTACACAACACAATTAATTTCTTCATTACCCCATTCCTGCAGAAGAAGCAATCCTTCCAAACACTTATTTCTTAAATTAGGCAAGTCACAAGCAAAGGATTACACAATATTTGGCACTCGTGTGTATAGTATTTTCAAAGTGAAAATTTAAAATTAAATGTTGCATATTAAAATCTAAATATTTTATTTAACGCATAATTGACTGCCAGTCCGGACATGTTATTATATTTTCATTAAAAATTAGGTTTTATAAACTAACTGATGAGAAAGTCTGTTATTGTTATTTTCATAATAAACTCTGTGTTGATTAAAAAAAATTACAAAAGGATATAACACGTCAGTTGGTTATACAATGTATTATTTGCTTTAATTAATTGGCTAAATAATTCTTGCAGTTTTTTTTTCATTCTTACATGCATTTATGAATACAATGTATATCATTAAGTCAGCTCGGGTCCCGAAGTTCAAATATACATGTACATAAGAATTTTTAATAAGCGGTACCTAATTAAAAAATTTATTATCTTTTCCGTCCGATTTAAAAAGGAATGCTCTAACGACGTAAATATATTTTAGGTAATGTCTACCGTTATTCTTTATGGACAAGGCCTTTAAGGATTTTTTTTTAAAAATAAATATTTCATTAGGTTTACTAACCACCACAGAGTTTTGTTTTTGTTTATTTGTTTTGGTTTGGGTTTATTTTGTTAGTTTTAAATACATGTATTTACTTATCAATTTTCCCCTTACATTAAGAGCATAGACTTAATGTATCGTATAAATTAAATGTCTTGCGAACTCGAAATGAAAAGGACACAAAAAGTTATTTAACATTAATTATTTTCTTTTTTGCACGATATCATAGGGCAAAATAACCACAAAGTCTTAATTTAGGAAGTGTTTAAATGACGGTGAATCCGACCTGCCTAACACAAAGTAAAATAAACAAGGATACTTTTATTAATAGGGGATAGTTAAATGATAATTTATTTCTTCAAACTTCAGCAGTGGAACCACAAATGTCTGGGGAAATGCACCACACTCAATGAACTTTTCATTTCTCTTCATAACAGTTCTTTCCATTTCATCTCAATGAAGTGACGCCCTTGCTTGAAGAGAATGATGAAATACTCTACAGTTGGTATTTTTACTGGTTTATAATTTCATTGGGGGATGTGTAAAGATTCACAAAAAACAAAACCGCTAAATTTATACAACTGTACTTAGCAATTATGGTAACAAGAAGTTTTTAATGGAATACCCGAGAATTGCTTATCATTAAACATAAATATGAAATGCAATTAAGGATTTTCATCAGTTAACAGATTTTCATCAGATTTAAAAGATCTGTTACACCTTGTGAGTATTCAATAGAAAGGTCCAAAGTTCATTGGAACAATACAAATTTAGGGTGGGGGCAAAAAAAGCAGAGATTGGATCGGATCAGATACCATGGAGAAGTAAGCATTCCTTTTCATCCATTCTCTCCAGTCGTGTGCTATTTGTTATGATAGGACAAAGGGAAATTATGCATCACTATACATAAAGCAAGATAAGATTCAACACTGCATGCAGAATGAAATCTATTTAATGTCGTTCGTTTTAAATTTTTGCATTATTGCAAAATTAATGTTTTTAAGGATTGAAGCTTATTTCAACTTATATCATACGATATAACATAACTTGGAGCAGTTTACACTTTTTTTATAAACCACTTCTTATAATTTAATTTCAATGTAGACAATAAGACCATTTTTCCTTTAGAAAAAGCTTCAAACTGAGCATATTTTAAAAGTAACGTAAAGCGGAGTAATACGTTTTTTACGTAACTGATTCTGGCGCAGGCAAATTATCTTATACGAAATGGATTAAATCTTTTACCCAATCAAATGACGTGGTACAACTAAAATTAACATATTTAAAATACATACACTCATTTTTTTAAAGCAAGCAACTTCTGCTACGCATAAAATTGTAAAATATATTTTAGGACTGAAAGCGCTATAAACATACATTGTGTATATAGTTGGCTATGAAGGAATAAGGTCTAGTCTGTGTTCAACTTGCACCCAATAACTGGGATGAAGTATGCTTCTTTAAAAATATTTTCACATGTACAAAACTGTCAGATTTAACTTTTTTGATAGATGAACCTGTCAACTTTAACATTTCTCATAGTTTATGCATTCGTGAAAATAAGATTTAAATCGCCAATCTATCATAATGTATTTTTGAGATGTTTATATGTATATCTTTCTTCAGATAATCACACATTACAAATTTTTTTCACAAATACTAAGCCAAATTCAATGAATTGGCTAAATATTATTGATTTTACTTTGAATTGGAATTTAATTAGTGAAATTTTTAAAACGACATTTTTAAATTGAATCAAAACAAATGATTCTTTAACTCTAAGTTCCCTAGCTTGCCTCTCTGTACGAGTGTCTTTATTTAAAGCTAGATCTTTATTTTACTAATATAAGATGTACATACATACACTGCACCATTTTTACAATTTTCTTTCTGTCTGTATTGAAGCACTTATACTTTTTTGTCTATTTCTTTTCTGTATCTTTCCTTGGATAACTGAATGCTATCAACCATTTTTCTGTGCTTTGTTTCACTAGTTTTCAATATTCCAGTCCTAAATTGATTAACTCACAGGATCGTTTTGCTATTGATTACTATTGCCAGTGGTCTTGTTAAATGTAAAGTACTATTAAAATTTTGTGTACTCAACATTAATTAATTTGTTTATTCTTATTATTTAAATTCCCACATGCTGACCACACGTTTGCTTCATCATGTATATTTAAAGACCAACATCAGAATTGAACTGGCCCACCAGTCCTTTTTTATATATAAGGAATTAATCAAAACTCATTTCTATTTGTCATTTTCTTTATTCATATCCCCTGCAGACCAGTGTATATAGTTCCCAACAATACCTTCAACAATTAATTGAAATATACATGTATATATGTTTTTTAATTAAATTCTTTAAGATGAGAAGAAATTTTGATATAATATAAAGAGGCGTCAAAGTAAACGAGCTTCCACGATTAGCTAGTCAAACTTATACAAATTAAATGTTTAATTGATAAAAACAAAAATAGATGTATCGATATTCAAGATACCTCATATAACATTTATTATCCATTTTTATAGCCAATATAAAATATCTATCGTTAAGCTCAGAAGAATGAATGCTACGATCTAACACAATTGAAGATGGATTGGATTTTAGTAAATACCAGAACGCAAAATTTTTATTTTTATACAAGCTTTTGTAAAGATGATAACTGATTCGTGTTATTTTTGCTACTCCACATTAACATGTCTTCAGAATAACACTTTTTTCATATTTCATCAGTTTAACTTTTCCAATGAATTTGTTTTTTGACATGAATTTTTTCCGGATCAAAGAATTTCTTAGCCAAAACCTTGAAGACAGAAGACAAAAAATGTTACCAATTTAAGGGCGTGAAAATTAAATAACTTACCAGTTTTCTCATGTTGGATACCCTTGTACCGTACAATCCCATGGCAAGATTCCGTCTATGTCTATTATGTTCATGAAGGATTTCTTCAATTTGTCGAATTCGTAGCCGAGATGCTCTCAGCTGTGTCAATTCTGAAAAAAATATTAATTTGATAAAGATTTCTCCGCTCACTAATATCCATATATATTCCCAGATGCGTAAATGATTCTGAAAAAAAAAACCAACTTCCTATTATGTAAGTTACAGAAACAAATAATATATACCTAAAAAATTAATAAATAAAATAAAGTAGATTCTAAATTGAATCATTGTTGATTATTTTTGCCGACGGTAGTCCGACCCTCTCTCTGTTATTATCTTGTTTATTTCCATAAAAGTGTTAAAGTTCTTTTATTAAGCCTATTGGCCAGTCTTGACCAATCAGTTTTCTGTAGGTATTCAACCTAGCTGTTCAAACTTCACTTTAGCTATTGTTCCGACAGTAATTGATATTTCTTAGGCAGATAACCCTATGATCTACTGTGATTCAAATTCGACATCGGATAATCTTTGATTTTCCATAAAAGTCACACAATAAAGCATGTATTGCTCTCAGCCTTACATGAAAATAAACTCTAAAGATAAAAGCATTTATATACCCCTTCATAACATAAAGACAACTATGATGATTGGTAGAACTCACAACCAATGGGTGTATATTTCATCCTTACTGTCGTATACTTACATAACTATATATTCAGTTCTTGGTTGAGTTTGCCTCTCTAAATCAAGCCAAAAGGTGATTTCTTTTTTTGAATGGAAAAAAATTGAAACGACAATGATACATAAATGATGAAAGAATTTTGAAAATTAAGAGAGTGAGAGAATAATTCTAATAAAAATATCCATTTTGGGGGTGGGTGGGGTTGGGGGTTGGAGGGTGGGGTTGGGGTGTAGTCATCATATAACGTATATAACGTCATTTATCTTTCAAAGAAAATAAAAAAAAAAATGAAGGAAACTCATCAAAGTAAGATATTCTTATCCATACTCATCTATTACATAAAAATTTCAAAGAATTTAAAGAGACCTCTTAAAATTATAGATTTTAACATGACGTTTTTGTGAAATTATTTATTGTCACTGTTTAAATCACATATGTACGTACAATCCAAAAACGGTTAACTAGTTTGCCTTCAAAAACTTTAATAACTTTTAATTTTTTTTTTAACAGCGTAAACAGCCGATGGAAAAGAATGCCAACCACGTTTATATGCATATTTATGCAATCTTAAAAGTTAAAACAAATAAACAAGTTAAATTTTTGTGTTTGTATTGAAGTAGTTTCATAATTTATGTATCTTATCGTACATAAAACAATTTTGGAAAGGTGAGAATAATTAATGCCATACCTAAGAATTTGGTTCATTTTAGGAAATCACGCATAAATCTTTTTAAAAAAGGAAAGTTTTAAGTTTTTGCTTTTCTTGTGTTTTAAAAAATGTGTGTGTTATTTGTTTAATGATAAAAAAAAAATCAGATATTAATTCACTTTTTACTCGAATTTAACAGAATGTGTAAAACATCGTTGGGGAGAGATTTTCTGTTAAAAATGTAAAGTTGAAGATAAATAACGGTGATCAATCTAAAAAAAAAATCTATAAATATTACATATTTGAGAGTTCATGAAACACGGATCCCTGAAATTGAAATAAGTGGGATCAGATACCTAGGAAGGAGTAAGCATCCCTTTTGGACCGGTCACACCCGCCCAGAGCATTTTATATGAATTAATCAAGTAGACGACACTTTCAGTAGTCAACTTCAGAATAAATGCAAAGGTCTAATAATTAAACAATTGATATGTAACAATTTAACCAAATTACAAATTGATGATAGGTTTATTCACTTCTACGATCATCACAGGGACCATAGAATTTACAAAATTCCGAATTTAAAGGTGGTTGTTGAAGTTCCTTTAACATAAACTTATCAAAGAATAGTTTGTTTTCCTTTTAAAATTTATAGTACACAGAGCAAGCTCTTTAGAAGCGGATAAATGGCATACACGCACACCACAAGCAGGTCATAGTGTAATATTTTAATAAACAAATAAGGAAAGTTGATGCAATCTTGTTTGTCATGCATGTAGAATTGAATAGTTAGTTGGCCTTTATCGCCTATTTTAAAGTCAGTATTTTAACATTCTTATATGAAGCAGATGTGGCCGACTCTGTGTGTTTTTTAGTTCACTAGGATACATCGAGTCGGCATTTGTATTGAAATAACAATGTTTATTAGTGAAACATCGTCGACATATCCAACTGTTGGAATGAAAGCCACAACAAGTGTTTTCCTCTTCTTATGAAGAAGTCGAATTATGTTTATGCAAGTGTTATTTTCAAATACTGTTATTTGATGACAGATATTAATCAAACCTTCTTAAGGAAATTGTGTAAATTGACGACATTATTTGTTTGTTCAGTGGAAAAAATCATAACTTGCCTTTCCAGTGCTGTTGAAAATGTGTAATGCTTCCAAGTCTATTTATATGTTAAATAATTATATATATAGAGAGAGAAGGAATGATAATTACTGTGAATAGTAGTATTTTGAATGTACAAAGCAGACCTTTTTGTATTCACATAAAGCAGAATTTAGAAATGAAAAATATAACATAAGAAGAAGAATAAAAGTCTTATTCTTTCCTTCAGATCGACATTTTGATATATCGACGACTCATTATTAATTAACAATAGTATAACTCCCATTCATATACCGACTCGAAAAATAAACTTATGAGCTTGGAATAAAAGATACCACTGAATCTGACACATTTGTTTCATATTTGGATATTTTACCAGGAAAAACATTAACGGTCATCTAACAAAATTTTTCACGATGAACATGATCTCAACTTTTCAATCATCAACTTCCCTGATTTATGTTGCAATATATTCTCATCCCCTCCATATTGGGATTTATGTCTTTCAGTTACTTAAATACGCCAGCGCATGTTATACGTGTGAACAATTTTTAAAACGAGACAAGTTAATGACAAATAAGTTGATAAATCAGGGATATCAACAATCTGGTTTGAAGTAATCATTTCGCTAGTTTTATGGTCGATACAATGACCTTGTCGGCTAAAACTACCTATCCTTAAGTTAAATGCTAACGGTCGTTTTATATACTTTTTGTTAGACCATCATTTACACACTAAATTGTCTAAGGATTTTTGCGGGGTTTTTTCTTCGCTCATGACAAGGCGTTCATAGGAGGTACGACCAGTCGGCAGGGGACAGGGCAAGACACTCCTCCGTGGCACCTGATCCTATCTTTTATGCTTTTGGAGCCCCATGCAGGCTGTGCTACCGATTTGTATTGTTTAATGGACTTCAAGCTCGAAAATCGTTTATCAACTTTATTTCCTTATCCTTACGGTATCCGGTGACGTTTTTATACATGTTGTATGAGTGACAAATTCTCATATAAAAACAACATAAAATCAATATAATTGTATAAGTAATCATAATTGATTTTTGTAAACTCACCTACCCTCGTTGATGATATTTAGATTGTATAAGGTTCGCATAATTAGATACATTTTATCATAGAGGAGTCAAAATAAATTTTTCTTTTGAGTAATTTCACCTTGCTTTAAGGAATCTCAAAACACTGAACACTGGAGAGTTTATTTATATGTTAGTTTATGCAGTTAGAGTGATCTGCCCTTAGAAGTAAGATAAAAAAAATGGTTATTAACAGTTAATCACACAATTAGTAATAGATTAAAATATTCTTAACATAAATTAGACCAAGAATTAGTAATGAAATATACGGAGACAAACAGTATTCAAGCTCAACTGTCCATAAGTCATTACAAAATAGGAGCAGAACAAACACGGACCTCTAAAACATAAGTGGGTCAGGTGCCATGAAGGAGTGATCATTTTTTTTAATTTTCCTATGTAAGTAAACAACCGTCAAGGAAAAAAGTGTATATCAATTAATTTTTTACATAATCATGCAAGTAACTATGACTAATAAACAATGCAACTGCACCTTTAATTGTTAGTGTTGCATTATGAGTAAAATAACCCCGAAGCAATGTAATAAACCTTAGCGTCAACCATCCCACAACTACTGTAGCAATTGTAAGCTTAAGAGAATAAGGGCTGAAACAAATCAAATTGTGAAATTATTGGAATTTTATGCAAACAACTGGGTTATATAACCATTTGTAAATAGCGTTCATTCGCCAAGGTTAAGTAGAATCTAATATAAACTTCGTTGTTCGTTCGAGGGATTGTCTTTTTTAGCTCACATATTTTACTGCACCCTCTGGTGAAGAATGTTGTCAATGTTACCCAGTTAGCTTCAGATGGGTATAAACCAGATCGTCGGAAATTCAATAACTCACTAGACAGCTACCTAATCTGTGTTTATACCACACATTTCTTGTACAGGAAAACTTGTCTGAAAATTAATACACTGATTACATCACCTTGAATTAAGAAAACTCTTTTACGGCCCCTATTTACATTTTATGAAAGACTTGTCATATGATTTTTTTTAAAGAAATATGGTTCAAAATATGTGGTTAAAACTAAAAATAATCATTGATGTTTGTATAAAAGACCTTCATAGTATAATTGTCTATTTTCTGACATAACAATATATCATGCAAAACAATTTATCTTTGTAAATAAGCATTTCATGAGTTCATTTTTGTATTTTAAACCATAGAAGGACCTTATGTGGCACCATTTAGGCAAAAAGGTGAAACATTTAAAAGGTCTACGTAAGTCGTTTCAATATAGCTAGGGACTTTTTAAAACGCATACTATTTTAATCAAAATAAATGCATGCCTTTTTTGTTAATTAGATATTGCATCGGATTAGAGATAGAAATTTTCAAAACTACATCTTAATAAGTGTACGTTTCTTCTTCCTCGTGACATCTGGGATTAAAATTATTTAATATAAAAGCAAACTCACAATGGCAGTTGTTTAAAGAAAAGATATAGGTTCATCTACTTCTTGTCATTTACTCAAAAGTTACAAAAAATTCGAAAAAAGGCAAGCTATTGAAAATAAGTCGCTGATTCAAATTTCACAAATTTTGTCATCAGATTTTTAGCAAATATTATCTATCGTAAAGTCAAAGGTTGATTGACGTTTTTCAAACATATTGTTGGACTCTTATTTGCACACTAAATTGTCTACGAATTTTCCAGTTGCCTCATCATAACAAAGAGCACCCGGTGGTTGTGTTCGGTAGAGGATGCTCACTGCTTCATGGTATTTGAGTTTAAGAGGTCCGAGTTTTCTCTGCTCCCAATTTGTATATAGTAATCGGAATTTCCGACCGTCCGTCTGTTACGCTTTGGGGTACCCATCTCTTATCCGCAACGCCTCATACCACTGAATGAAATTCACTTTTACAGAATCTTTAATACATCTTGCCTCCTATTTTACTTTTTGATCCGACACATATTTTGGGTTTCCAATAGCAAAACATGGACGCTGTCACTATATTCATATTGGAGGCGGGGGTACCATTTAGTGAGCTTATTGCTCACAGTACCTCTAGTTTTAAAAA